AGTTACTGCCTCAAGTGAGGAAGTTCAAGTATCTTGGGGTCTTGTTCATGAGTGAGGGTTGAATGGAGCGTGAGGTGGATCTGCACATCACTGCAGACGCTGCGCCGGACTGCTGTAGTGAGGAGGGAGCTGAGCCAGAAGGGGAAGCTTTTGATTTACTGGTCCATCTATGTCCCAACCCTCACCTATGGTCATGAGCTCTGGGTAGTGACCGAAAGAATGAGATCGCAGATACAAGTGGCCGAAATGAGTTTCTTCTGAAGGGTGGCTGGGCTCAGCCTTAGAGATAGGGTAAGAGGTTTGGACATCCGGAGGGAGCTCGGAGTAGAGCCGCTGCTCCTTCGCATCGAAAGGGGTCAGTTGAGGTGGTTCGGGCATCTGATCAGGATCCTCCTGGGCGCCTCCTGTTAGAGGTATTCTGGGCACGTCCCACTGGTAGGAGGCCCCGGGGCAGACCCAGAACACACTGTAGGGATTACATATCTCATCTGGCCTGGGAACGCCTTGGGATCCCCCAGGAGGAGCTGGAAAGTGTTGCTGTGGAAAGGGACGTCTGGGGTGCTTTGCTCGGCCTGCTGCCCCTGCGACCCGGCCCTGGATTAGTGGATGATAATGGATGGATGGATGGATGGATTGCTACCTTTGCTAAGGATACTCAAGACAAGCCCACACTCTTGATGTTCGAGAGAAAAGGCACCGGGCTGTAGACACACTATGACTCACAAGGCTGAGCCCACACCTTATTAAGGTTAATGATCACGGTCATTACTTATTACACTTCAGCTCTAAGGTCAGCATCTGGGGGCTGTCTGACATTTCTCTAGTTTGTGAAAGTGGAGGTGTTAAACTGACGTGTGTGACAAATGAACTTATTCTTTCCTACCGCACAGAGGAGCCTAGTGATGTGCACAAATACACACTCATTAGTTGTGAAGAAGACACAACTGATCAACAAATCCTCCGGAGAGCCACACGTATTCTAGCTTCTTGTGGACATGTACTTGCAGGTGAATTTTCTCTGTTGTCAACAGGTTACATTTTACCTGCATGTAAAACCAATGGGTATTCAAAATCTTTTATTCCCTCCGTTAGTCGTCTTTTAAATTCGCTGTAAATATTTTTTATCTGTTTTTTTTTTAAAAAAATCTCTTTTAGTCTATTAACTTTTTAAAAAATTCTTCTAGCTTCCTTTATTCCAATGAACTCCTTTAATCATTTATGTATGCATCTACATGTTGCTCTGTGTTATAGTATGTGTGAAAGGCAAGCTGCTCCAACAATGGGATTACTAAAGTTGTCTGAATCTAATTCAAAATCAGAGAGCACTACAGAAAGTAAAACATGTAAACCGATAGAGCCGTAAACCTGAATTTTTTTTCTTTTATGTTAATTTGTCCCAGACCTTGCATAAAATGTAAAAGAAAAAGAAAACATTTTGACACAAGTGTTATGTCATTTTATCAATCAAAAAGAAAAACATGGGATGTACAAATAAAATTCTACCTTGTTATTTCAAATAGGCTTGATCATTTTGTTAAATAAATTCATTTTAAATCAAATACATTTTCAATATTTGATTTAAAGGTAACTTAAAGGTCCAGTGTGTAAGATTCAGGGAGATTTAGAGACATCTAGTGGTGAGGATTGCACATCGCAACCGGCTGGAATTTCTTCTGATTGTAATTCCCTCAGTGTTCACTGTGTAGGAGGTTTTTAGAGGGAGTCAAATTATCCGCAGAGGTCTCTTTCTCTCAAAAAAAACCCAGACCAGGCAACTTAACCTTATGGGCCCGAACGACAAATAGTGCGCCCAAATTCACACCTGTTCTTCTCTATGGATTTTCTCCGCAACCGTTCGTCATAGCGAGAAGCCACGCATATCACGTGAAACAGCGGAATCGTAGCTTTCCGACGAGACCAAGCACTTGTCGGTAGTCCAATGTTTTCACAAGAAAAAAAAAGTTACACTAAAATTATGTATAACAAAGCTTTCATACAGCTTTGCACACACATTACTCTTGGATGGATTACTTGCGAATGCAGGGTCAGACAGAAATGCCACACATATCACATGAAAGCGCAAGACCAGAGCTCTCCACTGATACCACACATCATTGTGCTGTCATCCCATCATGCTGTAAATCCAGATCTTTACAATTCATTTTACAGATCTTGTTATTAGTCACTTCATATAGTGAGGAATAATATTATTACTATTTTTCTATGATCTTAGATGTAAATATTGCATGTTTCTTTCAGATAAAACACATTTTTGACTTGTGAATGAATCAATGGAATTTCTTGCAATTATGAACAAGTACTGGCAATCATGTCCGCCTGGCACAAACCGCATGTTTTGGACAGCTGTGAAGTGACAGAATGTCCCAGCATCATGGTTCTTATATTGCCAGGTTCCAGAGAGTCTCCCCTCTTCATATATGGCAGAATATGTCAACTTCCAACTTGCTATGCTGAGATACATGTAAAAATGTAAGAATTTAGTAACACAGATTTTTTTCCATTGATATAAATATTAATATAAAATACAGGCACATAGAAGGACATGCAATGATGGCAAATATGGATAGCCCATATTGTCCTGAAAATAAAAAGATATAGCATGTGTATGTAGCCTTTATAATGACTGTGATATAAGCTTAAAAGTAAAGGCAGTAAAAAATACCCCCAAAAAACGCCTAGGGCCCATAGGGTTAATATATGGTATAACAAACTCAGTAAAGAAATACTTTAAAATATCAAAATTATTTTTTTAATTCCAGGAAACAGGAAAAAGTGGGTAAATTGGCTTTAATTTAGCCCCAAATAACCAGCTAGCCACCAGCTTGATGACCACTGTTGTTTCAGATCACTGTATTTGGTCCCCCCCCCATTGTTGAGTATCTATATTCTTATGTGTTCTCTCGTGTATTTTTACCTGCTGTGCAGCTAATTGCCCTCTAGGGACAATTCTTGTGCCAGAGAAGGCTTCAGTAATATAAGTACAGTAACCACAATTTTAACGATTCACAACCAGTAACAGCCAATGGGTTCCCGAGGTCAGGGTCACTCACTGTGCCCAGTATTAAATATCTGGCAGAATATACTAATTTGAATAATTTAAAATAATCCCCATGGTAATATGTAACGTCAAAAGTCAGATTCAGCTTTGACCCAATATACAGGGGCTGCGTTTTGCCTTTGCAGGGCAGATATGCTCCCTGCAGCCTATTAAAGTGTGCAGTGTGAGGTCTGCAGGAGCTGTAGAGGAGCTACACAGTGAAATACAGATGCTGCAGATACCGTGGTGTATTTTTCACAACCGATATCTTTTCATGACCTGTGAGGTCTGCGTCTGTATGAGAGAGAGTAATGGCTCCAGCGGGGCTCTGTCAGTGAAACAGGCAGCTGTGTGGAGTGATGTGACCCCACTGCCCGTCCATCATTGCAGGTTCAGTGGGTGGCGGAGGGACAGGTAGCAGGAGAGAGACAGAGGTTGATAGAGTGTGTGACTCAGACGGAGGGAAACAAATGCACACAATACACTGCACACTCAGCCGCTCACATAAACACACATGTTCACACGTCGGCAGTCGGCCTAAAGTGACAGCAATCATCATCTGTTCAGAGGCAGGCAGGTGAAGTGAGGATTGGGTGCAGATTTTATCACATAGGTGTGTGTGAGTGTGTATATGACAGCTGTATTTCTCTCCTTGATGGATCCCCCTGCTCTCAGTTATTGCAGCTTTGCCACTATAAAGCTTTCGTCACGACAGCAGCCGGATTTGATTAGTGTTGCCTTTGTATGAGTAATATGAGAACAATTCCACAAGAGAGCAGTGATTTTTGATGGAAGATGGAAATGCCCTTCCCTCCAGACGCTGTGTTGTGTAAGACCCAGCAGGGGGCGCAAAAACATTAAAAACATGATCTAACTGCAGCTGCTCCTTGTGTGATTTATGATTTTGATTTGTATTTTATTTCAGTCCGTGGAACTTTTGGTTATTTATGCACCAATAAATAACCAAGAGTTGCTTCAAAAATACACACACACTATAAATATGAATTTATAAACTGAATATGTTTAGAGATGTCTGAAGAGTTGAATAATTTACACTCTCTTGCAAATGCATTCAATAATTTTCAAATCTGAGGTGTGTTCTTGTGAATGCAAAGTAAGGCTAGGTACGTATTGTGTCAAGGGATTTGTTTCAACATTGAAGGGGACACACGTGTAGGTTTGGGGGTCCTCCCGCAGAAAATTTCCTTATCAAACACTTAATATATTGCATTCTGGTGAATATTTATGCACCAGTTTGTGCCTTTCCTACATCAATGTATGATGTCTCTAATTTTGTCAGATACACATGCTCTGAATATTTAGGAGGATGTGTCCCCCCCTTGGATCTAAAACAAAAAGTATAATACATTATAAACCAAGGGCGTAAGCTTCATTTCAACACACTGGGGCTCTGGGAGTCCTCCACCAGAAAATTTTGAGCATCACACACTTAATATCCTGCATTCAAGTGATTTTTATGCACCAATTTCCACCTTTTCTGCATCAATGCACGATGTATATGTCTTTAATTTTGTGAAAATAAAAGTCCTCCGCTACTTTATGTTGTTCAGCAGGGACAAATGCACATATTTTGAATATTTAGGCAGATCTGTCCCCTGCGTCTGCCCCTGTTTTGATGCTGTGTTGCAGACCTTGGATGCTAAAAATATTGTATAACTCCTCTGCTCATGTATGTAACATATAAACCAAGGGCGTAGGCTTTGTTTCAACACTGGGACACACACATGAAACGGGGCTCTGGGGATCCTCCATAAGAAAAGTTTGAGCACCACACACTTATGGTGTAAATGTCTTTAATTTTGTCAAAGTAAAAGTCCTCTGTTACTTGAATGTGCTTCCTTGGGGGACAATTGCACATGTTGTGAATATTAAGGGGAGGGGGGGGGCGTGTCCCCTGTGTCCTCCCTGAGATCTCCACCTGTGTTTTGTGTTGTTTTGCAGACCTTGGATGTAAAAAATAAATGCATAACTCCTCTGTATGTGACAAACATCATATATAGGCTGCCCATGTGAAAAATTTTGTTTCATTGTTTTGAAATATCTAGTCTTTGCTATTTTAGTAGCACAGCTTTTGTCAGTGTTAGGGACTGTTTGTTATTTGTTAGGGGGGAGGGGTGATGCAAAAAGGAGGAGGCATGTAGAATAATTTTTCAAGCACTGGGGAGGGACTTGTTTTACCACAGTTTTTAAAAGAAAACTTCTGGATTTGGAAGACAAAAAGAATCATTGGATTTTCCAATTTCTGACAGTCCTTGGAAACAACATGTGCAGCGCATCTGTCAGGAGAAACAAAAACAAATAACAAATCTGAGCTTTTTTTAGAATAGTTTTTCCATTTTATTGTACAGACTGAACAGTCCTCTAAAATCATCTTCTAAATTATTGTCACTCAGAAAACATCTGATGAGGACTCTTATTTGCAAAGACTCTTAACACTTCATGTTGTTTTGTTGTTGTTGTAAATCTTACATCTTTTATAATACTTCTCAGTCTGGAACTTTTATTCAGTTATGCAGTCTTCATTTTTATTCTCTTCTTTTTATGTATGATTGTTGTTATTTAATAGGGGGGGTATCTTCATACGCCATTTTTGGCTTCTAACCGCTCCTGCACAATGTTTTAACTTTTAATTTCTTTTTCCTGTATTTTCTATACATGTATGTGCAAATAACCTAAACCAGAGAGAGGCCACTGTGTTTGAATAGTTGTTGTTTTATTGCGGATTTTTGTATTATATGTTGTATTTGTTGCATTTTAAATGTGTTATGATTGGCTGCTATCTTGGCAAGCTTGCTCTTGTAAAGATAGCCTATTTTCAATCTCAATGGGACTTTCTGGTTAAATAAATAAAACTGAATCAAAATTATTTTATTCTACATCTCATTTAAAATTTAAATTTAATTTAAAAAAACACGACAAGAGTTAAAAACCAAGGCTTATTTCAACTCCAGGATTTCATCTTCAACTTTTATTTTTCAAACATCAAAGGGTAAGTTTTAAAAATCTCCTCCAGTCACCCAGGGAGACTCAAGGAAAAATATTTGTAGCCTAAGGGAGTTGGTGAAGGCATAAATAGAAGCTGTTCTCTCCTTTAAATCAGACAATACTTGAAATTCATCCTGGAGCCAAATCTTGGTTTAGAATAGTGATATTTAATCAAAATCACTTTATTTTACATCTCACTTAATAGTTGGCCAAAAATAAACCATTTGCACGAACTAACCAGCATGCACACAAGAGTAAAAAAAATAAAATAAAGAATAAAAAATCCAGGATTTACCCTTCAACTTTTAAATTTCAAACATCAAATGGTAAGTTTTAAAAATGTCCACCAGGCACAAGGAAAATATTTGTAGCTTAAGGGAGTCAGAGGGAGGCATAAATAAAAGCTGTTACTTTTTTATTCTTGTTTCCTCCTTTAAATCAAACAATACTTAAAATGCATCTTCCAAATCTGAGCTTAAATTAGTTCACTTGATTCTATGCCTCATTTTAAATTTGGCCAAAAATAAACCGTTTGCACGAACTAACCAGCATGTATGACAAGAGTAAAAAAAAAAAAAAAAAAAAATCTAAAAAAAAATACTCTTTAACTTTTAATTTTCAAAAATCAAAGGGAAAGGTTAAAAAAAATCTCCACCAGGCACTCAGAGAGGCCAAATGGAAAATATTTGTATCCCAGGGGAGGGTCAAAATAAAAATAAAAAAGTCACACCCCCGCCACTCCTCCCTGATAAATAAAGAACAGTCCCTTAATGAAATAAAAAATAGTAGCATCTTTATTTTAATCCGGCCATATTAAATAAGTGAGGATAAAGGAGGAGGGGAGCTGTGGAGGAGGTGGAGGAGGTGGAGGGGATCGGGGGGGAGAAGCAGGAGAAGGAGACAGAGACAGAGGAAACGCAGACCTCAGACCAGCCCGCCTCACCTCACTGTCCTCTCCCTCCGCTCCCGGTGTCCACACACAAATCTGACCGCGGATCAGCTCACTCGGGCTCCCTCCACACTACGAGTCACACCAACTGGGACTCAGACCAGAGGAAATCGTGTTCGTCGGCAGCCAAGTCCGCACGCCAAGACACATCCATAGCAGAGCACGGCGAGGGAACGGACGGTGTGATAAGACGGGGACTGAGATCCAGGGAAAAGGCTGCTGGTAGGAACAACAGCGGGGGTTTAACGCACATTTAGCGGCGACACGAGAGAGGACTGCCCGGCCCCGCAGAAGGAGAAGTATCACACGAAGCTAATTTCCAACGTTTTCTATTATTGGCAGCAGAGTGAGCTCCTCGAGCCACATTTATAAAGAGAGCTAGCGGAATGTAATGCTAGCAAGCTAGCTAATGTTAGCTAGCTAATTAGCTTGTCAGGCATCCAAGAGTCGGACGTGTGGTCTTTATTAAAATAGGTCACTGTTTGGCGTCGTTTGACTTTTGTTTTTTGGGAAAAGGCTGTACTTAATGTGCTTTGTCCTGAAGCCTGGCATAATGCTCTGCCTCGAATAGCTAACGCCAAGTTAAGACAATAAACAGCACAAGCTGAATGTATTGATGAAAAGCAGCTCAATATTATCCGTCTACGCTTTTTTGGGAAACCCATTGTGAATATCGAGCCGTGGACAAATCAAACGGAGCGGGGTAGAGAAACAGACTTTTGACTGGTGACTGTCTGCCGTCCAATGTTAATGTCGACCGACGTTGCATCTATAATGCTACCCGTTAGTCGGGGAATAATGGAAAGAGACATTGATACAGCAGCCGGACCGCTCGCGAACGCGGCCGGGGGTCCAGCAGCTGTCCGCGGGATGAAGCGAGGAGACCCGGAGCCCGACGCTCAGACAGCCGCTGCCCTGACTGACTTAGCCGGGGCGGAGTGCAAAAGACCAAGGATAGACGGCACCGGGAGTGTTGTTGGTGACATTGGGCAGGTAAGAAAGCAATGCAAACACATCTGTGTGTGTGTGTCTCCATCTCTGCTTCATGTGTGCAGCAGTGGAACAAAGTATCATCTGCCCTCCCCTTTCTTCTCCTCCAGCAAAAGCTTTTGTTCCCAAGCATCAGCAGGGAGTGATGATAATGTTTTGACAGGCCCCTTTTCCCCTCATCTACAACGTAATCATGCATCATTGCAGCAAATAGAAAATGCTTTAATTGATGAACGAATCAGGCCTGAAGTAAAGTAATGATGGTGTAAATGCTGTGTAGCTGTGCTCCTGGAGCTGCTCAGTGAGGCAGCATGACCAAGCCAGACAAAGGTAATATGATACAGGCTCCACTGCTATGACAGGCAGCAGCACAGCAAAGATCAGACCCATTCATCATGCCTGTCTTATATACGGAAAGTAAACCAGTGCCTTCTCACACTGTATTTTTCCTTTTATCCACATGGATGAAATTACTCAGACTTGTGATGATAATACACAGTGAGTCATGGCATCAAATCCTGATACACACTGCATGTGCCATTTATGGCTCCATGCCCCCCTGATTGTCGCTAGGTGTTAAAAGAGAGAGGCAGACAGCGATTGGGGGAGGGGTCACCACAGTGAAAGACAAAGAACAGAGCCTTTTGGTGTCGGCTGAAGGAGCATGGGGGCTCAAGGGGGGCGCTCCTTAACGGGGTCTTCCCTGCTTTCATGACTCTACTGCTGAGACAGCATCAGTAGCCAGACTAATCTGTGTATATTACAGTAAAGCAGGGGACTGCCGAGGCACCGGGTGCACCCCTCTCGCCTCCTCTCCCTGGATCTATTACTATTTGTTTCTCTCCCTCTCTTCCTCTCACATAATCACATGCACTGCACATCAGTCTTACACCTACACATGCTTTGAAGTGCCCATGATCCGGCAGCACAAGGGAGATTTTTAGCTGACGTCTGGTGTTTGAGTCCAAGGAAACAGCCCTAACAGTAGTCGAAGGGCGGGCGGACATGGTGTTGAGGTCATGTGCAGGTAATTGAATCCAGGGGAACTGGTAAAATGCTTTAATTGGCTGACCTGCTGCAGTGACAAATAGATCTCACGTAAAGCTCGGTGAGCCTCACAGAGGACGGCTGCTGCTGCTGATGATGATGGGGAAAGGTTATAGCCCTCCAGCGAAGATGATGTGACAATGAGCAGCATGGCATGGGGAGGATTCTCGCTGCCCATCAGTTGTATTGATCGCTGGGCACTGGAGAGAGGGGGGCAGACTGGGAATAGGAGGCTGGGAGGGGAGGGTGAGTTGATGGATGGAAAGTGATCTGTGGATGCACATAGGAAGAAAGGAGGAGGGGGGCGAGGAGGTGGAGGACAAAGAGCAGTAAAGAGTGGGGTTTGAGTGGACATGATATTTGGGAGCAGCACAGCAGAGAGAGGAGAGTCAGACACATGTGGCCTTGATGGATAGATGTAGGGAGGAATAAAGGATGGAAGCAAGGAGAGAGCGGACAGAGAGGAAATCAGAGCCATTAGTTTGCATCCATCAGGGACCATGATAAAGGGTGAGAGGAGCGTGATGGATGGCGGGAATGACACGATCAGTTGGGGGGAGAGATAAGCAGGCTCTAAATGATTAATGGGGAATACCACTTTATGCAAAGGGTAAATAAAAAAGCAAAATGACATTGAGGGCTAATGCAGTCATGGTAGTTGCATGGCAGTCTCTCTGTGGTTGCGTGCGAGCGTGCTCGGGATGAGGAGGATGAGTTCAGCTCATAGCTAAATGCACCCAACAATTACCATAGTATTCCCATTGAAGCTGGAGGTAGAAGATTGCTGACCTTCCGGGCTGACTGTAAATCAGGACTGTAATAATAAATGAGAGTGCAGCCTCCTCTCTTTTGTTGCTCCTGCTCTCCTCCCCCGCTCTGCCTTATACAAACTGCNCCCCACACACACACACACACACACCCACACACACACCCCTGCTCCCCTCTAGCTGTCCTCTGAATTCTCCCCCAAGCATATTTCCAGATTGCTAATTGACTCCTGGTTCACAGGCTTTCAGTGTGCCAGTGAGGTGAAGCACCCCACCCCCTCCACTCTTCTACTGTCCCATCTCCCCCTGCCATCCCTCCCTGTCTCCATCACTCAAATCTATGCAACACCTATCACTTTTTCCCCAAGCCCCACCTCTGTCTCCTCTCTTGTTTTCCTCCCTCTTGCCTCGTCCCTCCCTTTTTTTTTTTTTTTTTTATTTTTATCCCACTGTCTCTCTGTAGTATTGATGCTTCCCCTTGGGGCAGTGCTGTGGTCCACTCAGATGCAGTGGGAGTACAGTTCTCTCGCAGCCCGTCTCTCTGTGTTTTCGGAGAGCCGATTTGTCCTATCGTTGGCAGTAAAGAGGCTTTGTGTCGCGCTAACGAGATCAAAGCTCATTTAGGAGAGGGCATTAACCAGACTGATCGCTTTAACAGGCCAGAGCAGAGGGAGGGGGGGGCCAGACGAGGGGTGGGTTGATATGAACGGACAGATCACTGAGATAGGTTGTTATTACCAGTCGGGAGTTTAGGTTTCACAATCTTCACCACAAGCAGTTTTCACTGAGCGCTGCTTATTTCTGTAGAACACTTACGTAAACTTTTTAGCCTCCCGAGGAGCCCAGTGAGAAATTTACTCTGTCATATTGGTCGCTAATGAAAATGTATTGCTGCCGCCAGTCAGCTCCCGAGCCGACTACTTGCCTCAGAAACAGGCATTAAAGGATCCTCTGGAGATGTGTCTTTATTTTTTTCCTCGGTGCTGCAAGTAAATTGCACCCAAAATATAAAATAGTTTTGCTATGAAGTGTAAAAACTCCACTCTCTGGGATATCTCATTTAAATTTTAAGCTCAAACTGTTATTTTTTCCACCTGTTAGTCAACAGAAACAAATCAGTGACTTTTTTTTAATGAATTACTAAAAAAAATTAGTAACTGAATTCAGCTCTATGAATATGATAATTAGCTTTATCTGCATTTTTTTTGTGCTTGTATGGTTTAGCTTAATATAAAAGGGTTAAATGTGAAAATAAACTTGATAATTACTAGCATGCATTCTTTTTTGAGGACATTGTCTGGTTAAAATCAATTTTGAGACAATAGTTGGATGATGACGAGAAAAATGTCTGTGTTATGTAACTGTAGAAACTTTGTACAAAATTAAACTTCACAGCAAAGCCCCCTATTACTAGTTTGGCATAATGTCTCATTAGAATATTTTAATAGTTAATAAAAGTGATGGAACACCGTGTTCTAAAAGTTGTAATTGTGCAAGAAGACCATGTGACAGGAAATGACATCACAGAAATGGACCCTGATCATGCTAACTGCTGCATGCCTTAGTTGTTTTCTTTCTTAGGGGTGTAAATCACTATTTCCTTATTATACAACATCATATTGATTGTTTGGACAATGATACGATATTTGCTAATATCACAAAGGCTGCCACAACATGGTTTTGTTTCGATTCAATTCAGGGGCCTGCGATCGATATGAGACAATAACACCTGCTTATTTAACACAGTCAGTTACAGAAGAAGCTGCCACCCCTTTCTGTTTTGCGTTTTTGGCCATAAAAGACAAAAACAGTGCAAAAATAACTGTAAATAATTGTTAAATGCAGTTAAGTTTACTTTAAACTTACTCCACAAAGCACATGGGATAAGTTTGCGTAAGAAATCTTTTCGTTTAGTCCCAAGCTATGATCTTTTGTCACTGGTATCCACAGATAAATGCTTTAAAGTAAAGTATCAGTACCAGCCTGAAAAGAACATTTCTGCAGATAAGATGACGCTTCATGCCATTTTAATTACTCGAATTAGGTCAGATTTGCCCTGGTTGTGACTACTGTCAGGATTGTCTCTATTATAGCATCATCCAAGCCTGTTGAAGCAGGAACAGTTATGCAGTTTCTGTTTAAAATAGTAAATATGGCATGTTAAACATGTGATTTGAGTGAAAGTAGTTTTCTTATTTTGCTCAGTGTACAATTTGAAAACCATTGTGTCTGCGTCCCAGGGGCATATGGTAGTTAGGATGTGTCAGATTTTGCACTGAAACAGCTACTGTATGTTTTACAGTATCGTCACATGACCAAATGCAGACTTGATGCTGGACAACATCAACAACATACATATTACCAGTCATCACTGCAAATCTGGATAAGACAAAAATACAGAATAAAATAAGATATTATTCATTAAATGGATTTTTCTGCTCAGCTACCCACCTCATGGGCCCCGGTGCAACCTCACTGCCTGCACTGTCTATATTTACGCCCCTGCTGCGTCTGCAGGTGGCCCGTCATGCTAAGAGTTGGCATCATAATGCAATAAATCCACCACAGGAGGGACTTGATGTTCTCTGTATTAAGGTGGAATAAAAATCAGTATTGGCATCTGCAACCACTCAAAAGGAGTTGGAAATTTTCAGCATATCAAATAACAAAAATCCAATATTGTGCCTCCTAATTGTACAACATAAGACATGAGTTTGGTTTTCAAAGAAAAAGAAAAGAGACAAAAATAATGAACGTAATCATAGCATAGTGTCCCTAATCAGTCACTGTATGGCAATAAGATAAAATGCTATAGCTGGCTTTACTCATTTGCAGATAAGCTCAGTGGCTGCACAGCTAAAGTAGTAACCCTGCGTGTACCCAGAGAGCCTACAGTATCTATAACTGTAGCCTGAAAGTCTAAGTGTCCTTTGGAAATCAGCTGTCTGAATTATTCACAGGAAATGCGAAAAATCCGGAGAAGGGGAGCAGTGTTACAGAGAGGCAGGGCGGGTGGTTCAGGTTGTGTGTTAACATTTGTTACAGAGGGTCGCACACGATCCTAGTTAGTCTCACGTTATGCTCTCTACTGCTGTTTAATGATTGCTGTTAAACTTTGAGCTGCGGCACAATGGGGGAGTCACCCTTGACTTTTGAACCGGCAACGATAAGCTAAAAATTCCGCAGACT